AGAGAGAGAGAGAGAGAGAGAGAGAGAGAGAGAGGATCCACCAGAGACAGAGTGGGGAACAGAACAGGTAGACTGACTGAAGAACACTGCTGGGGGGAGCAGCAGAGGTCTGCCTCGCCTATTTTCCAGATTCTTTAATGTGTTCCTTACACTTCCACCCTGACAGCATCGACAGCCTACAGGGTGCTTGGTCGCACGGGAGAGAGGGAATCTCAAGGCCAGGTCTAGTGACCAGGCGCCGGTTGACTCAGACAGGGGGAGTCTCTCTGGGGTGGCCAGAGTAGGGTGATATAGGCGTGGGGTGGAAATGTGTAGCTCCGCAGGATCCAGGGTGCCTGGGCAGAGAAGTTGGGTGTTGCAGGCACGAGAGGCTGGGGCTCGGGGTGTCCCCAAGCAGTGCGCGGGGTCGAGATGCCAAGACGATTTTTCCCAAGTGGATTTGCAGCCAGGACCGTGGTGCCTCCTCTCATCGCATTGCAGAGCCCCGGCCAAGGGAGGCGGCGGCGCCCCCTGGTGGCCAACTACGACACCAGGCGGTGGCGGCGGTGCCACCCACAAGAGGGCTTGGTAGTGCCTTCTTGGTGGAGATGAGAGAAAAGGAGCCAAGGCCACTGTGCCTCAGGTACTGATCTGTGAAATGGCATGCTAATTGCATTCCACGGGGCTGGTGTGACAACTGAAGGCTCAGAGGTGCACTTCTATGGTGTCTGCGCACTCAACACACCCAAGCTAATGAAAGTTCTCCCTTTGGGAGTTCTGGAATCTGTGTCTGGAGAGGCGACTCCAGTCAAGGAGCCACAGAGTGTGAAACCTGTCTCTTATTATTCCCAGAGAGCTTCTGCCTCATCGGATCCCTTGGTTCCTCTTCTGTAAGCTCTTGGTCTCAGGGTATGTAGACTGAGGTTTAAACTAATGTTGGTTTCTCCTGAAACCTCTAAGGTCATTTTGATGGATTTGGTATACATAAAAGGGGATATGCATAACTTGATGGGTATCCCACACTGATGGACCACAGAGCAAAGATAAGGGGGCTAGCAACACATTGGGGGTCTGAATAGAAGCCTGTTTGAGTTAGCAGACTCACTCTGCCCTGAAACCGAGTCTTTTTGATTCCCATCTCTAAGCCTGGGGCACCAGGGCTAGGAAGGGGAGAGAGAGGAGGTGGAAGGTGGTGGCAGAAAACAGAGCAGCTTCCACCCCACCCTTGGCTGGAGCAGCCTGGAAACACAAGCCATGAGGGAGGCTGCAAATGTCTGCGTGGCCAAGCATGCAAGGGCTTCCTGTGAGTTTGTTGGGAGTCCCCACTGCTGGGACTGCTCCTTGAGAGTGTAACATGGCCCACTCAGGACCCTGCCCCAGATTGGCTGAAGCTTTGAGGCTTTCTAGATCCTGACTGTGCAGAGGTGGGCATGGGCACTGACCCAGGCACCAGGACAGGATAGTGCCATCAATAACAGCCTGCTGTCAGCCCATCCTCAAGACACCCAGGATCCTCTGAGCCCCAGCTGCCTGTCCAGCCCTAGACTCTGCTCTTCTTCATGGGCCCTGTGTCCAGTAAGTTATTAGAATGTACACAGATTTTCTTGCTTCCTTACCTTTGCCTAGAATGTCTTCTCCTGTACCTTTGAGTAGTCTCTTGAAATCAGTTCATCCCTCAAGACCAAGGTCAAACCCCTTTTCTGCTCTCACAAGAGAAGCAGCTCATAGCATTTGCACTGTCCCCTGTGTTAATATCTTATTCTTGCTCCTAATTATGTGCTCTTAAAAGGCAGGGACCGCGTGTTTGCTATCTTTCGTCTGCATATATATCCAGAAGTAAATGAACAAGTGGAGGCCCAAGTGACAACTGGGCTCCATCTGTAGCCTAGGACTGGTCGTACTGGCCTTCCAGGCTGGTGGAAGCTCTGGGAGTGAGTCTTCCACTGCGGATTAGCTTCTCCACTCCTTCTCAGGGACCTGGCTCAGGCAACTGTTCTCAGCTGCTCAGCCTTGGCCCTTTGTCCAACAAATCTCTCCCATCGCAAGAGAAACTTTCCCTGATCCTGTTCTCTCTCTCAGCACTCACCCCTTCTCTGCCTCCTCTGAGCCACCTTCTTCCCATTTCCCCACCTCTCTGCAAACTGCCTCAGGCCTCCTAGACCTTGACTGGAAATCATCTCCTCACACTTTGGAATTCAGCAAAGGTGCTGCCCCTTTGAGTCACTTTTCCTGACTGGGCCCCTCTGCCACCAGCAGCCCTATTTCAAAGCTGACTTAAATATCCTAGTGAGTGCCTATGTGCCCTGAGATTGGCCCCAGTGGTAGAAGATTCTAGTGCTCCTCTACAGCTGCTTTTTGTCTCTTCTGAGTTTACAGGAGGATTATCCTTCCCCACCTCCATGGCAGGGACATTCTACCACGGTGAAATGTGATACTTCTGGATCAAAACATTTACTTAACAGTAAGTGCAAGATCTTCAAGGACTTTCTGCCCCCGACTCACCAACTGTGGCAGGTTGTTATGCAATGGAGGCACGTGAGGATGCAAGCAGACTGGATTACTGAGCCCCATTTGCAGGCCACTGCCCTGGAGTCACCCAGACCCACAGTGGACTTTAGGAACTCCTGTTGTTTCATGTGGCAAATTGGTATCTGATTTACCAGTAATACGAGTTTGTTAACTGTAGAGACCTGTGTTCATTTCACTTATTGTCATCATGGTGTAGCAGGTACCTAGGGGGAAGGGACTTAGCAATGTGGAGTGACCCTGTGTTGTGTGGTCACACTGCAGGGGTGGGGTTCGGGGAGAGAGGATGAATGAGCAGCGTGTGTCCTGGAAGAAAAAAAAAAGTATCTTATTTAGGATTTTCCAGGGGCTTGCCCAGAACCTGTTTATATATTTAATCTGTGATGAAAGATTATAATAAATCTGGCTTTATTGGCAGATGCACATTTCACCCAGGTAGTTAGTTCCTATGGTTTTAAAGGTATTTCTTGGATTTATTGGGTCTCTCTCTCTCTCTCTCTCTCTCTCTCTCTCTCTCACACACACACACACACACACACACACATACACAGTGTCCCCGCCAATCTCTCTGGGAATCTGTAATATAATAGACACAATATTTAATGTCAATTTGATACTGATAGGATTCAGCCCCAGCTTAAATGCACCCCTCCCCCTCATTGAGAGCAGTTAGAGAAAATTATGGCATTGTTTGCTTCCTAAGCATAAATCTGTGAACCCGGCACCAGGTGGGGGTGTTCCCTTGAAGGTCTCTCTGTGTGCAGATGTCTCAAAGTCTTTTTTCCTGAAAGCCTGTTCCTCTTTGTCCCTTTCCCCCAAGACTGTCCTTTAGCTCATGGTGCTACAGGGCTGTTTAATGAACATTTGTAATGTTCTTGCTACTTGACTAGAACATGGGTTACCTGGTTCTTCCCATCTCTTTTACCCTCCTGACATGGCCCTCCCTCCCTCCCATGGGTCTGTGAACCTCACTGGGAACTGAGGGGCCTCCCCCATTTCAGGCCCCCCCACCTCCTGTCAATGTGCGATTGACTCAGTGAGGCAGCTGGGGCTGGAGGGGAGTGGGCTGCGCAGCTTGACCTGGGTCTAGGCACAGTCGGTTGTAATTTACGTGGTGTTGGCCATGATGGTTATTTCCTTGATTCCAGATTCCTCATCTTCGAATGAGGCCTCGAGATAAATCTGGCTGCTATCACAGGGCTGTGGTAAGGATTGCCCCAGAGGGCACTGGTTCAAAAGATGACTTATCGAGATAGGGGTGTGATTCTCATGGAATTCTCCCTTTCCTATGCCAATAAGATTCAAAGAAGGGTGGGATAGAAATGTTCCTACAGACCCTTCCCTCTTGGCTTATTTGTACAGTCCTTGAGGGGCTGGGGGAGGGAGTGGAGCAGAGGGTCGGCCCGTAAGGCCTGGATGGGGAGGAGGCATAGTTTGGGTGTGCACAGGAGGTGGCCTCACCCTGGGACTTGGCCTTTCCAAAATTTCCAGGCTCAAGAGAGAACCAGGGCTACTAAGGGTCTCCGATTGGGAAGGAGCAAAAATTGCACAGTGGCAGGACACATGGATCTGCTGATGGCCCTGGGGACCTGACCCACAGATGGTGGTTGATGCTAAATTTCCAGCCAGTCAGAAGGATGGGGCGTGAAGTTAGACATAACTGATTGAAAGAGATAACTGATCTCTTTGCACTCTCAAGTTCATAGAGTAAGAATTCCACTCTCAGTGCATATAGGAACCCAATATAAATGTGAGTTCTTGGATGGCTTTGCCCGCACACTTGCTCCTGATTGCAGCCTCCCAGGAGGTCAGATCCCCAGGCTCCCCTTCTCCTGTCATCCCTCACTCGTATTTGAACTTACCAGAGGCCTAGTGAGTCTAAATTTCTCAGTGGCCTGTGTGCAAGTGAGATCCCCCAAGGTTGTGCTGCACCCACCACATGAGTTACAGGACCACCCCCATCAGCCTCACATGAGGGGCCAGTTACAAGTGTCACTTTGGGAGTCCTCTTTGGGCCCTTGGAGATAGATAGGTGGAGGGGTTGCCAATCTGCATTTTAACATGCTCTATGATAACCAAAGACTCAAGGATGTTTGTTCAGCTTTGTTCTTCAAGTGAAACGAAGGTGACCCCATTCTATTCTCTACTGGCAATGGGAAGGAAAGATTTGCTGTGGGAGCAGTAGTATTGGCTGTGACCAAGTGATCAATCACAATTGTGATACTACTTCTACTTTGTTATCGTGGACTTGCCTGTCATGGCCAACACCACTTCTGGATTTTAAACTCAAGGGCAGTGATCAGCTTCCATGAATCTAGCACCACCGGCTCTGATGGTGATCAGAAGGACCCTGCACCAGGGTTATGGGTGGAGAGTTGCAGCACCTCTGATTCCCATGGCCACAGGCCCTGGAAGGCTGTGCACTGGCACTGCCTCTGGCCAGACGGTTCTGTCTGCTCTCTGACAGAGACACTTGATAGCACAAATTCATGACCAAGTTTTATCAGTAGCAAAACTGTAATATATTAATAGCAATATCATAAGAGAATAAAGGCTTGGGAGGACAACCAATCTTCCAGAATCTGAGGGTTTGTAGTCATTGTTCAAGAGCTCAGCTAAAGGCAGTGTTTTCAGAATTTGTTTAAATTGCAGCAAAAAGGACCAGGGTTAGTTGCAGGGAAACATTCCCCAAGCAGAACCATTTTAAATGCTGAACTTGGCCTGTGAGTTTGCATGGAGCCTCCCTTCCTAAGGGAGATCTTTGGAAAGAAGTCTAGTGGCTTTGGAAACAGTTGCCAATTATAGTTTTCGCAGAGCCCTCATCTCACAGCAGGTTGGCCACTGACACACATTTTGTGGCCACTGCCATATATGACCTTTCTGAAAGTGGCTTCTGGAATGTTTCTGAAGGGTTCTTCCAAGAGGAGTGGCCAGCTGCCCCAGGGGCTGGGTGAGTGAGCACTCTGTCCTGCAAAGGCACAAAGGATCAGACTGGTGGGGCATGGAGGGTCAGGATCCTGCTGGCAATCTCTGGGTTCTTGCTGTGTCTCCTTCACCCTCATTGAGAACACTCTGGGAGGAGGCCTTAGTATTGATGGATGGAAGGGAGGGGAGATCACAGGGAAGCTTGGTGGAGAACCACGTACTGGCATTGTCTTGCTCAAAGCCCATCTCCAATAAATAAAAGATCAGTTGATGAAAGGCCTTCTTTGCTGACTTATAACTCTGACCCTTTACCCACAGCAGCAGCATTTCTTGACCCAGGACCACAGGGGATGCCCACCTCTCTGGAGGCAGTGAGAAAAGGCTTAGAAAATGTTGATATATACCAAGTGTATTTGACACCAAGGAAGTCAACCTCATTGGCTTCTATTTTGTGGGCCGCAGTGCGCCATCCAGCTTGGTGGGCTCTGATATTCCCTCGGTTTCATCATTCACTTTTCTGCCATCTTGGAGACCACCTCTCTTCACTTGGCCAAGAGGCTGAAGGCCAGATAGGAAAGTCTGTTTGAAGCTGCTGGAGAGACTTGGGGAAGGTGTTCCTATCACTCTGAGATGAGAGGCTCATCCCCACATATTGAGGGTGGGCAGCTGGGTGTCAGGACCATTTCACAATCTTCCTCGGGCCTTCATCATGGTGTGGTTCTCAGTTTGAAATGTACTCCCACGTGGACAAACATGCACAGACCAACATACAGAAGGGTCTAGAGTTAACACGAACAGCATGTGGAGGCTCCATCTTCAGGGTGTCTTAGTCCCTGTTCTGGTGCTGAAGGGTGGGGAACTGAGCGAGGCCATCTGGCTATACTTCCTAACACAGCTGCTTCCAGGCGGGAGGCGAGGATCTGACGGGAAGGGAACCAGCCCCTCCTGGGCTCTGTACTGATGCCAAACCTAGAGGCAAAGGGGACGACAGCCAGGCCCCCCTCCCTTGCCTGGGTCTGGTTAGCCCACTCCCTTTCTCCTCTGGGCAGAAACCCCTTTCCCTTTCCACTTAGTAAACCATCCCCCACAGAGCTGGTGAGGGGCAGGGGCTGCCTCAGTGGGCATCCTTGCTGGAGGACCCAGTATTGAGGGGAGCCTGAGCATGTGGGGACTCCTCCTAAGGAGCCAGGAGAGACCTGGTCCTCCAGCTCTGTGCCCACCCAGCCAAGGTGCATGGCGGTCCTCTGCGACCCTCGGGGGGCCTTTGGGAGGAGGAGGAGGCAGGGAAGGCAAATGGTGATGGGGTTTTCTTTCTTATTTAAAAAACGAAAAGGAAATGCTGTATTAACATTAGTAACTACAGGCATATGAGAGTGGGCAGGGTCCACTCTCTGAGCAAGGTAGTGGCCCGGCTCAGGGTCAAGCGTCAGATGAGGCCAGCAGCCTTGTCCTGCACGTTGTACTCCTTGTTCTTCTTAACCCGCCAGCTGGTGAAGAAGAGCAGCAGTGTGCCCAGTGCCTTGTAACCCATCTGCAGGCCCAGGTACCTGTGGGGCAAGAGGACATAGGACCGGGGAGGGGTGTGAGAGGCTCTGTGGCCCGAGTTCTGGGGCAAGGGCATGGCGTAGTGTCATTCCCTCACTGGCCTAAGGACTAGGTCATCACCCTCAGGTAAGGCTCCATCACCACCCAGGTGGGGCCATTTTTCTCATTCCTTTGACAACAGGGTACAAGTCTCCCTGAAAGGGGGAAGGAACTAGACCCAGGACACCTCACATGGTAGTCCTCACCTCCCCACTCAGGAGTAAGAGAGGGCCAGAGATAACACAGTAGCCAGCCTGGAGGGGCCTGTCCTCCCAGCACAGCCAGAAAGAGGGGCGCCATCACTGCCCTCATGGTGTCCCCCTCTGGGCCTTCTATACCACCCTACCCTGTTTCCAGACTCCATGCAGCCCACTGTTTCTAGTCTATGTGGTGATGGCAGCAGGTGAGGTGGCTAGAAGGGGTGCAGAACTCAGAAGTGGTGCAGCTAGGCTGGGGTCGACTAAGGCAGGTCCCCTGATTCCCTCGGCCATGACCCATGATGGGGTTACCTCTTTCTGAACAGCCTGGCATTTCTGAACAGCCTTTCAGGATGCCAGCCTGGCATCATTCCACAACCATGACTTCTCTCTTGGATGAAGCCACCCCTCCCACTTTGGGCTCTGTGCTGATGCCAAACCTTCTGCTGATGTCCCTCTTGACAGTCTACGGGGGCTGCAGTGGAGGTTCTAGAGTAGCTCCTGGCTAGTGCTGTTTGAGCCCTGAAACGTCTGTCACAGGTGACCTGGCACCTATCTATGGCAGTGGGCCCCTGGCCCTCTCCCTTGGAAGCCTGCCTGTCCTCACATTACCCACAGAGAGGAGTAGATGACTGAGGCCTGGACACTGGCCTCCTTGGCACCCACCTATCTCGGAGACTGTCATTGTCATAGTAGGCACAGGCTCCTCGCCTCCCTGAGCACTGCGCGTTCCACCGGATGCAGGCGGAGTCAATGGTGAGGCCATACAGGGCAGGAGATGGCAGCCAGGCTAGCACCAGTGGGAAGAGAATTTAGAAAACCAAGGGTTACTTGGAGCAGCAGGCAGTGAGGCGTCAGGCAGGGTGAGGAGTAAGCGCTCCCCAGCACCCTGCCTGGTGCACATATGTGAGAACAGCACCGTGTTGCTCTGGGGACCACAGTGACTTTGGAGGAGGATTAGCTCTCTGTGAAGGCCACTTTCTCCTTCACAAGAAGGCTTGGAAGAGAAAAAAGACCTGAGGCATCCTCTCAGGGCAGAGAGGATCACAGAGGTCACCTGGATGCCAATCAGACAAAAACATAGTTCCCATACTTGGGATTTGTCCCAAGAGGCCACATGCTGACCCCCACATTGTGGCAGGCTCTTGAGGCCGTGGGCTCTTCAAGTCCTCATGGTGGCTGGGTGCACTCATTTTAACAGCAAGGCGAATGAGCTTGAGGAGATAACTGTCACCTAGCCAAAAGAGTCAGGGCTGGACTTTGGAGCTTAGTCTACAGAAGTTCAACCCCTTGTCTTCTGGTACACTGAGCTGCCCTATTGGCTTAGACCCACAGCACCCTGGCTGTTCAGAGCAACTTCCCCAAAGCTGGCCCAGGGACTATGCCTGACCAATGTTAAGTCTTCAGAATGGCCTGTGTCAGTAGTGGAAATTCTAGGCAGTCAGTGAACTGGGGAGGGGTGGCTAGTCTTCGATCCATACCCAGGCCAGGCCACCAATTGCTTAGAACCACCATACTGAGCATAGCCTCTCAGACTGTTCAGGAGCCCTTTTTTTCTGGAGCTTTAGCTTGTGGCTCCAGTCCTATGTGGGACCTTCATGAACCACCAGCCCCACTCAGACCCTGTTTGCTCCCAGTCTCCAGGTGAATGGGGGATGGAAACCAGCCACAAGGACTGACCTCTGATGATACTTCCCTAAATAGAAACAAAGTTCAGAAAAAATTTTAACAAATCCCAGTGGGGAATTTTAAACTTGCCTGGATTTGTAGCTACAAAAGCCTTTTTTTTCTACCACAGGGTGGAACTGCATTCTGGGGTGATGAAAGGAATCTTTCCTGGCCTGGGTTTTCTAACTGTGGTCCACATTTAGTTATCTGAGCTCAGGTGAAAAAAACAAAGGCAGCAAGTGCTTTGAGCAGAAGGAGAGAGCTGGTTTTCAAGGTGGCTGGAAGAAGTGGGGCAGGGCTCTTCAGGGTCTGTCCCTACCCCTGGTTGGCTGTGTGGAATGCAAGATTTCCTTCCCAGTGGAGCTCCAGAGCAAGTGCTAAATGAGTATTAGTTCTCTACACTGGGGTAGCTCCTGCTGCCTGGTGTCCTCTGTGCTTGTACTATGGGCCAGAGAGGGTCCAAAGGGCTCTGCTCCAGGGGAGAGGGTCTAAAGGATCAAGGGGCCTGAGGCCAAAAAGCCCTTTTAAAAGAGCTGGTTCATTCCTCATCATCCACCCTGGCACAATCAAGGGCCTGCAAAGGCTCCCAGATGGGAAGTCACCAATGCCCCAGAATGATAATGGAGCCACAGCAGGGTGGAGAAGGGACCTGGGTCTTGGATAATAATGCACGGTGGATTTCAGCATTTAAGGTTGGAAAGTGAGTCTTGGTAGTAACTGAAGTCCTGTTGTCGCAGTCGCATGGTCCCTGCTGCAGCGCACCCACTGCATCCTCATAAATAGGTCCACAGTTGAATTACTTCCCTGTTGCTGTGAGGTGCTCATATTAGTGCCCAGTATTTATTGCCTGATATGTCAAAAGTGCTTGGGAAAAGGGGGTGCTGATGAAGCCACAGCACCCCCACTCCCTGCCTATGCACCCCAGGGTGCTGGGTGTTGCCTGTTCCCCACAGGGAGCTCGCCTTCCTGGTGCAGAGGCCCAACTTGCGCACAGCTCCGTTGCTTGCTGGGCTCTGGGCTGCCTGCGGGCAGGCAGGGTTGCCAGCAGAGGGCCCCATGTGGAAAAACTGCTTAATAGGTGTAGGAGGTGTAAACTGCAAGGTGGGAAGGAAGCCAGGCTGGGCTCAGCTGCCCTTCTGACCGAGACAGGAATGCAAAGGTTGTTTTGTTGTTGTTTCTATGGCGAGTTCTCAGAGAAAAAGTAAAAAATACCTGCCTTTAATTCTGTATTCTCAGCTGGGTCTGCTTTTCATTTTTCCTGACCTCACGGGAAACTGCTCACCTAGGTGCTTGCTGTTGTGCTGATTTTGCACAGCTTCTTTTTACAACAGAGATGAGGCAGGGATTTCCCCAGTCCCACCCTGCACCCCAGCACCCTTGGATGTCTGGGGCCATGCTCAGGAAGGGGACCACTCCTCAGACACTTACCCAGAAGGCGCATCAGCAAGAACTGTACCCCAATAGCAAATGACTTTTCTTCCTGGTTTACTACACTGGAAAGGAAAACAGGAAATCAGCCTTGCAGGGACTCAGCCTCGCACGCCATCCCTCTGATTGGGGACAACCAACTTCAAGCGTGTCAAAACCTGTTTTCCCAGGGCCTGTCAGCCACCTGGCTGACCAGATGTCCTTTGGCTGCCAGGCACTGCTGGTGTGCTTGTCAGTGGACCCCCACGCTTGAATGCTGGTCCAGCAGCACCTACAGACTCTGGGAATGGAAATGCATGTTCCCAGGCCACACCTCAGATCTCAGGTACTCTTGGGTGCGGCCCAGCCACCTGTGTTTTAGGTGCTCTCAGGAGACTCTGATGCACACTGATGTTGGAGAACTACTCATCTCTGTGACTTTCAGGGCTGCCTGCTTAAGGGGCTGAGTGCAGAGGAAGTTGGGGTAGTGAAAAGGGGCCTGAGTGTTTATAACACAGGACTGACAGCCTCCCGAGGAGTTGATGCAATGTGTAATTAGGACCTGGACTGTCAACTCTGTGTGCAACTAACAGAATCCCTCTGCCTCTGACCCACTGAGATCAGTGGTCTGTGCAGCCACACAGGGACACACCCACAGAAAGTTGCCATGTTTCGTTTAATGCTCTAACATGACTGCCTTGACATTCCTCATAAGTTTGGAACCAGGAGCCTCACATTTCCATTTTGCAGTGGGTCCTGCAAAGTATGCAGCCAGCCTTGCCCATACCCTTCCTCCTCAAGAGGAGAGTTGGGTTTGGCTGAGGAAGGAGATTCAGAGTGAGAGAGAGGTGGTGTTGGTGTTGGAGGTGGTATTGCCAGGCCCCACCAGCCTGGTGGGTATGGAGTGGAAGACACCCCCACACATGAGGTGGGGGGCCAGGAGCTGGTGGCTGAGGTGACTTCACTCCAGGTTGTCCGTGCTTTGAGGAAAAATACTGTTAGGTGGGTGATTGTGAGGAAAAGTTGAGGGGACCCCTGGGAAGGGAACTCAGGTATCCCCAGATCTCAGCACATATTTTGTTTTACCTCCACCACCACAATTCTGCTAGCAAACTGGAAAGAGGCCTTCTGCCAGCTCCTCTGAGGGAGCACCCCATGAGGCAATGCTCAATGGGGTATACCAGAGGAAAGAGGCTCCTACTGAGTTCCCCCCAGTGGAAAGTGCCACAAATTTTTCTAATGGATGCTCCCTTTATGCTTACAGATCTCTCCAGCAGCTGCATGCATAATAGATGTCTCTTGTCTTGGTCCTTACTTCTGGGCAGACTCCCCTAGATTCTCAACTAAATGGGCTTTGGGCACCCCAGTTCAACTTCTGGTGGTGCTCTAGAGATCCTTCTAGTGTCTGTCCCATTAGCTGGGCACTGAATCAATGCTGACTTTCTGACTACTTCTCTCCTTCCCCATTTTGGGGGAACTGTCACGTCTAGCCTGTGTTCCTTGGATGGGGACCAGGACTAATGGGAACAATATCTGGGTTGCCCATGTCATCTGTAAACCTTACCTTCTTCATATAAAATAGCAGTCATTCCTTCAGCTCTCCCAGTGGGCTTTATATTTAAACTCTTTAGTGTTACTGGGGTCTCTTCTCCAGTTGCTCTCCCTGACCATATTGGAAGGGAGAGATTTTCTAGAAAAGCCATTCTGTGATTGAAATTATGCTCCTTCTCCACTATTTTCCCAATGCTGGACTTTGTCCGAGTCCTCTAGGAGGTGACCTGTCAGAGACTGCCCTCTCCCCACTACTAAGGATTGCCCTATGAAGTGTCCTGAGCCTAGTCTCCTCATTATGGCCATCCAGATTTATTGTCAAGCCCAAAAATGGTCTGTCTGACCTGGGACTTAAGAGGGGATCCCCATCCATGTGCCTTATGTGAAAACCTCAGTATGTGGAATACACAATTTGGGGGGTGGAGAAGAAGCTGACCATAGTGTTGGGAGCGGCACCCTGCCATGGGCTCCAGGCATCCCTACTTGTTGTACTTGCTGAGCATGCTAAGAAGGCGGGGTTCGGCTGCTCCCTTCCTGGGCCATTTCTCAGGGTTGGCTGCGACCAGCAACCTTGGGACAAGAAGTGAAATCTTTCCCTAGACCAAGAGCAGACTTGGTGTGTATAAGCAAGGGATCTCCCAAGCTCAGCACTCCTTGGTTGTCACTCCTTGGTTGTCACTTAAGCTCACTGCATGTGAGTGTGCACACACACTGCATGTGAGGGCCCATCCGTGCCACCCCATAAGAATTGGGGGGCAAGGATTAATGATGCAATGTGAGGTTCATGCTGCCCGTTGGGCTGTGAGTAGCAGAGTCTTTTATGTTTGACTCAGAAGTGTCCTGTCTTCTGCCAGCATGCGTAAAACAATAACAGAAACAGGAACTTGGTAGCTGGCAAGCTCACTTGAGAGTTAATGTGCAAATAGGGTAAAATCTCAGACCTTGATAAGTGGCTGTTTCTGCTCCTTCCTTATCTCCTAGCCTTGGGGGGGGGGGGAATAGGTCATTGGCACCTAGCTAGCTATTAATAATAGTAATTATTATAATTTGGTTAATAGTGATAATTGACCAATATGTAAAGCACCTTGTATTTAGAAAGCAATTTACCACATAATCCTGACACCACTCCTCTGTGGTCAGTATCCTTCATTATCCCCATTTCATAAATGAGCAAGCTGAAGCTCAGCGGGGCTGGCAACACCCAAGGACACTGCCAGCACATGGCAGAGCAGGGCCTTTGACCCTGGCCCCTGGCCACCCAATCCTGTGTTTTCCTCTCTCTTGTGAGGCAGGCGGGGGTAGGCTAGGTGACCGAGGCTGTTTTCTCCTTGCAGAGGGGGAGGTGAAGGGAGGGCCATTCTCTGGCATTTCGCTGCCACTGTGATGGGACTCCACTGCCCTCCTCACCTGCTCTGGCCACTCTCCCTCCTGACCTGAGATCTTCATTCTGGCCTCTATATATTCGGCTTTTCTCATTTTCATCCTTTCCCATGTCCCTCACTGTCTCTGAAACCTCCCTCAATTTTGTGCATCCAAATGAATTCTCCTCCCTCCTCTTAGTTCTTTTAGCATTTAAAAGAACTAAGGATTTTTAGAATTTAAAAGGCATTTCCCCTGTGGAGGCTGGCGGCCTGGCCTCATCACGTGACTCAGCCATTCTCTAGCTCTGCTCTCCAGGGCTGTCTGCTCCGAGCAGAATGGAGGTGCCAGGAGGTGCTTGTGGACATTGGGAGACCACTGGGGAGGCCACGCGCAGCAGGCACAGAAACCCCCTGCGTTAGTGGTATCTGCACACATCACCAAAAGCAGAGCACATTCATGTGCAAAATCTCTGAGGGCCAGAAAAGGGAGAAGCAGGTGGTGGGCACAAAGCAAAAGGAACTGTAGAGAAGGAGAGGCCAAGTCCGCGCAAGGGGCACACTCACCGCAGAACCATCATGTAGAGGGGGTTGTGGGAGATGCAGGCTATGAGGGACACGAAGGAGATGAGGAAGATGGCTGGAAGCAGGGAGTGGGCACACGAGATGGGGCATGGTCCTGTTTTTGCTGAAGCTGATCCTCCTGTCACGCAGCTGCAGTGCAAATAGGTCTTGAAAAGGAAAGGTGGGGGGTGGGGGTGAGACACCTGCAGTTTTTTTCTCCACACACTTCAAACACCTATGCCAAACCCTGCAGCGAGCCCTTCAGGCTTCAGGACCTCTACCCTCTGCCTTCTGGGTCCCTACTAAGTGGGCCATGCTGCATGTGAAGGCTGGAGTGGAGGCCAAGTGAGGGCTTCAAGGCATCCCAAGGGCCTTTTCTCTGCCCACTGTTGGGGCAATAAAAACTATTCAGTTTCTGGCTGTCTGGGCTCCTCCAGTGGCTAAACCTGTACAGCGAAATGCGGGATTCCATTGCCAGGCAAGGCCCACCCAGCTTGGGACGAGGAGCCTGCCCAGCAGCAGCGGTTTTGGTTTGTTGTTTTTGCTGTTGGCATATCTATTGGAGGGAGGATGAGGAAGGTATAAATAGAAGACTTCGGTGGAAACACCACTGAGCTCTTCATCTGTCATGCTTTTGTCTGGGGCTTTCTGCCTGAGGCCTTGTCCAGAGAAGGAGGTTTCTATCTCAAGTCTGCAAGTCCATTTGACTCAAAACTGTTGTGCAACTTGACTGCTGTCCATGTGGGTGGTCTTCACCTTCTCTCTTGTAATGTCTTGCGGTCTATGACCATTTAAGTGTGATAGCAACTGGGGGGTGGTCAGCATTGGAACTAACGAGTTCATATGCTTTTTCTGCCAGAGAGTGGGAACTATGCACTCTTTTTGCCTTGGCTGTCAGGAAGCTCAGACACGTTATATGCAATATTGCTGCTATTTCCCTCAGTCTGGAATCTGGAATTTTGTAAGCAGACTTCCTCCCTCGCCTACCCCCCCCAATTATGCTTTTTCTTGACATGGTAATGGATATACTTCCGCTGTTGTTGGAAACATGTCAAGATTATTTCTGAAAGTAGATGAGTAAGAGTTAAGTAAATAAAGATAAGGAAACCACCGAAGTCACCACAGACTATTCTGATTTGAAGACAGCTAACAGAGCATCTTGTATAAGCTTTTGTCCTTTTTCATCTTGTATAAACTTTTGTCCCTGCTCCTCTGCCCACAGAGGTATCTGTGGAGGCAGCCTTGCTCTGTCTTCTCAGAGTAGGTGGTAAGTGGAGCTCACTTTGCCCATACCCTTCAAAAAGGTGGAAGAGGCTCACTATTCTCCTTGGGGCATCCTTGGGGAGACTGCATGACTTCCCATTGCTCTTAGGGAAAATAGAACATCTAACTCTTAGCTTGGTCTGCCTGGCTCTGGTGCCTGCCTGCTCCCTGGCTCAGCTGCGTGTGATATTCCTTTCTCTGTTTCAACTCTGGCTTTTTCTCTTTTTTTCCTAGCCCAGTCCTGGGGACTTGCACTTGCAGTTCCTTTATTGAAATACTTCATAGGGTTTTCTTCTAATATCCCTTCTCTGAGGTGTCCCCAGGCACTCCCTTTCCCATCAAGTGTCTTCGTGGCACGGGTTACTAAACTACCTTGTGCATTTTTTTATAGACTGCAATCTCCATGAGAAGAGGGAGCTTGTCTGGTGTTCAACTCTGAATCCTTAGTATCCATGACCATGCTCAGTGTTCTAATCATTTGTTGGCTAACTAAATGAATAATTCAAGTTGATTTGCTGTTGGCTGACCCTAGTAGTCTGGAAGCCATAGTGCTCAGGGTGCTGGGCAGGACCTCACGAAGTGAGCCGACTGAATGTGGGCTGCATGAGTGAAAGGCTACAGGCCTAGATACATGGCCTCGAACGAATGTGTCCGCAGTGTCTGACCGGGCAGGGGTCTGGGCTTGAGTCCAGATATGCTCCTAAGTAGTTATATTATTTCAGGCTAGTTATGTGTCCAGGCCTGGGAGCAGAGGTGTTAAGTCAAGCCCTTGTGATCACTGCTTCTGGCTCTAACTTTCCAGGATCACATCACAGAGGCCCTCTTCCCTTGATTTATCTGGGTCAGTCTGTGTGGCTTTGCAGCACAGGCAGGACACAGGACCTAGGGATGCCCATTAGGATCTGCCAGGAGACGTCTTAGCTGAAATAGTGCCTTGGCTTGTTTCTGCTGAGCATGATTGGGCTTCAAGAATGTAAATTTGTTGAACACTGGTCAATCTTTAATTGGCTTTAGGATGTAGGTATCTGGTCATGGCCCTAGGGGAGGGGAGGTAGAGAAACAGCGGGTGTGGCTCAGAGGAGACCAGGACGCTGAGCATGAGCCTGGTGAAGTGCTGCCCATCCTGGAGCCAGGCGTGGCCTGCAAGGACACACGCTGAGCTTGAGACCCTGCGGGGCTTCTCCTGCCCTTACCAGTTGCTTGGAATCTTCAGTGCTCTTGTTGATGTTGCTGCAGCCAGCATGGCAAGGGGAGAGGTACTCTATCCCATTGTCTCCACAGACCGGGTGGAAGATGGCATCGGTGCATGAGCAGTTCAGGCGGCAGGCAGGAGGCTGCGGATGTATAGAACTTGATGTGCTGCCAGCAAAACAGGAAATGGTGAATCAAACAAAGCAAGACCAAAGAAGACTCTCTCCATGCCAGCCTAGTATAAGTTCCCTGCCTGGAGAGTGCGCCTGTGTATCTCTGTTTGTCTTGGGTCAGTGCCACCTGGGATCTGAATTATGCCTATTGGAGCCAACGGTGAATTTGCTGCTGGTTAGTGCGCAAGGTATCTCCTCGTTTCTTCTGTGTCTTGGACTCCAAACCCACCAACTGCTGGTTGGACAGCTTGGTCAGCAACTCCCCTAACCCCCATGCAAAAGGAGTCAAGATAGCCAGCCCCCTGCAACTGTGATGAAAGGTGGCAGATGCTTGGGAAAGTCAGAGCTGCTCTTCCTCTCCCTCCTGGGCTAAGGCTAATGGCAAAGGCTGGGAGCCTTGGAGGTTATCAAAGGTCGAGATGGCTCTATCTCTACTTCTACACAAACACTGCCCAGGTCGCTCATCCCCTGAGCTTTAACTAAAGGGATTTCACTGGCTGGTGTCACCACTCACACTATCCCCCACATCTGGTCTCCATGATCTTCTTGGGAGACAGTTGGGATAGGGGCTGACAAATCATCACTCATAGCTCTGCTACAATAACCGTACGAAATGATGGTTAACAGTACTGTGATATCTCTTATGTGCCAGGCACTTTGTGCAGTTATCATAGTAACTCTACAATTACCCTCCTCTTGTGGATGAGAAAACTGAAGATTAGATGGCAAACTCATGAAGAGCGGTGCCAGCACCAAAACCCAGTCTCATGACACAGCCCTGGGCTAAACTCCCTAGAGTCACAAATAGGCCCAAAAGTTTCTCAACCTCTCTCAGTCCATAGCCTGCAAAAGACCAGTACAAACTGGGGGGCCGTCCACATCCTGAGCAACCTTCCCTTCCCCAGTGCTCCCTCTCTCCTTTACCCACCAAACACAGAAAAGGTTATTTCAAAGCGAAAACACCAAGGCTGAAAGGCGCCATATCTCTGATTGTTGCATGCTTATTGGGAAAAATCTAAAAGAAAAGGCAGTTGAAAGGTGGCACCCAGGAAGAAATGAAAAATGCTCTTTGCCCAGCACCTTCCCTCCCAGGCTACTAAAACTTTCCAGACTTAAAACTGAGTACCCTGTTGCTTTCTGCAAACCAGCAGGTGTACTTTACCTGCCCTCTTCCTCATCTGCCCGCAATTTTCAAATCTGCCATCACTTTCATTGTTCCTTTCCAGAACTTTTCAAGACTCCTTTCATCTTTCTTCAGTAACTCAATGAGACTGTAATTCTAGCCAGCACTTAGCTGATGCTAAACAGAGCTGGCTTCCTAATGCCTGTGGCTCACAGCCCTTACATATTCATCCTGAAACTGAACTAATTAATTTCTGGAGCTTCTTAAACAAACAAACAAACAAACAAACAAACAAACAAACAAACAAACGCTAACCCTGATTACCAGTGATCCACTATAACCCTTTGCTCTCTTCTAATAAAAGAGCATACTATTTTAGACTTGGTTTTCTAAGTTGCCATGAAAGCGATTAGATCAAAAAAAAGAGAAGGAGAGAAGAAAATTGGGAAAGCAGGAAGACACAGGCAGTCAGATCCAGGCTCTGGCCTTGGCAAAGGGTATCTCCTCACCCCTCATTCCCATTACCTGGGGGGATAAACCTCTGCCACAGTGGGGGTGGAGCATCCCATGAAGAAGAGAGGGGTACAGAGGATCATGGAGATGGTGATTATGGTGGCAGCCACTCGGGGGATGGTTTGCAGAGAGAAAACAAAACGCTTCATGAGGATTCCGCCGAACAGCATCCCCAAGGCCGCAGCAGGCAGGTTCACAGCACCTATAGATGGAGAGAATCTGGTCTGGGGTGCAAGCCTGAGGGTGTGTGGGCCACAGACACCAAGCTGACCTCAGAGAAGGGGGCTTCCTGAAGGCATGCTTGCTATGTTCCACTGCTATAGTCATAGCCGACATTAACTGAACATGTGCTGTTTGTCCGGCCCATCCATAGCATTATCTCATAGACGGTTGCCCTGCCTGTGCAAAGAATAAAGAAGGAAGTGGGGCTCTTGCAGCCAAAGGGCTGTGGATTAGTGGTGCATTTATTGAGCACCTTTCATTACCTGGATGCTCATTGCATCCTCATGTGACTACATGGGGTTAACAAGGCACATGTAGTGACCCCTGCCATCCAGAGACCCAGGAGGGATGAAGATACAACCAAGGGCCACACAGGAGACCAGGGGTTATGCTCTGTCTACCTTGTCACATCCATTTGGGATGAGTAATCCCCTTGGTACTTGGTGGGACCACACAGTGGTTCTCAATCTTGCCTGCAATCTTGTCCCTATAGGGGGCCCTACTCACTCTGCTTTTATGGATTGAAAATGCTCCTGCATTTTCCCCAGCTTTTCAGGGGAGCCTACAGTGTGGCTGGGGTAAGAATCACTGGGCTACAGATTCTCATCCCCCAGCAAATGCATCCAAGTCCTTGGGAAAGAAGGAAAAAGAAGGCATTTTTATCTAACTCCAAATTTGAACCTCTCTCTTTCCTTTGTGATTCCTGTTGATGACAGGGCCTTTGGGAGGGTGTCAGGCTTCCGGTTCCTCTGACAGGGAGGAAGGCAGCCCCTCGCCTCCTCCCACTTCTGCTTGGAATGATATGGGCCCAAGAAATCGTCCAAAATCATTCTGGATTGCCAACCAGGAAAAATGTCCTTGAAATTCTTTCTACTGGGCAAGTCCACTGTGGCTCCTGTCTGTGTCCGGTCTGGCCTCGCCCATCCCTGCATGGGCAGCAGGAATGCCCAGCCCCTCCCTCAGCCAGAGCCACTACTCCCGCGGCCCTGGGGACTCACCGATGAGGAAGTTAGCATAGGCCGCGGAGGCGCCATACTGCTTCTCCAGGAACTTATTGAGGAATGTGGAGAGGCCGGCAATGACGGAGGAGAAGGTGCACTGGCTCAGGACCACCAGCATGAAGAGTGGGTTCATCAGGAGCCTTAGGAAGATGCGGGGAAACCCTGCAAACAAACTCCCCTCAGGGACCAGGCCTCCATGGCAGAGAACTACTGACTGACCCCAAATTCCTCTCTTCCTGGGGGCGAAACTGAGGTGCCCAGTCCAGGGGCACACAGCTCCTCACACTCCAACTCAACATGGTCACGGGCTTGTCAGAAAAGTTATGGGTTGTCAGAAAAGTTATGACCTTTTTCCTATGTGTCCTATGCAAAAATGAGTCATGACTTTTCTGACAACCCGATAAAAGGAGGATGGGCCTAGGAGAAGGCAGGTAGAGGGTAGACAGAAAAAGGGCCAGTGCTGAAACATTCTCCTGACATGCTGGCCACCTCCACATGAAAGGAAGAGAGAGAAGCACAGGTGGAAAGACCATGGGGATGGGGTTGACTCTGCCTGAATCTGGATCTTCTGGTAGTCCCTGGGCCCCTGGCAGAATCCTTCTGAGAGATGGACAATTACAGAGCACCTGCTCTTACTGCCCCTCACCACACACAATACCGCATGGTCTGGGGGTACCCCCTGATCCCTCAGCCCAACTCTGAGCTGGCCCACCCAGGGCTGCCGAGTAAGTTACGTTTAATGAAATCCACCAGGGAGCTTCTTGGCTTGACGTCATCCATCTTCCTTGTCTCATCCACTATGGCAGGAGATCGCTGAAGGTAGCAAAGATGTTGAGTGTTAATGGCCCAGGCTTCCTACAGCCACCCTTCCCAGGGCCCTTGACCCGTCTAGCCTTGGTGGCTCTGGCCTGGGGAGCAGTAAACAGCCCAGGTTTGAATGTGAGAGGCTGTCCCGTGTTTTGGCCGCCGGCCACAATGCATCTATGCCAATTGTCTACCAAGATACCTTGGGCTTATATTTTCATATCTAACGTTCCCATGACTGATACCAAAAGGTGCTTGATTGGATCCCACTCCTTGTTGATCTGTCATGGGCTCAACTTCTTCTCTGTCCTCAGATCCCTTATGGCTTCTAGAACACTCTAGTCCAGCATGTCCTGATTCCAATTCTCTCTTTCTATCTCCTCTGTGGAGTCCTGCTCACAGTTCTGTCCTGGCCCTCTGCCAGAACATCCTGTGTAGACTATGTCCCTCTTTTGAACTCATAAGTTGCTCTAAACCACACAGATGCAGGATCCCTGAGCTCTGACACTGTTAGGGATTGCAGGGAATTCATCTCCAGGCATAGAAGTTCCCATTCACTGAGTGCTTACTCCATGTTGGGCTCTATGCCTAGCATTCCACATGCATTGTCCCATTCTTCACAACCTTCTGAGACAGGTACTCTATCTCTCCAACATTTTAGAAAAGAGGAAAACTTAGGACAAAGAAACTTGCATAAGATGACACACTTAGTTCATAAGTAACAGAGCCAGATTCAAACTCAGGCTTGCCTGACCCCAAAGCTACAAAGGTGTACTACCGACCTCTGAAATCCTTCCTGAAGATAAGCTGAGACTCTCTGCTCTGCACCCCCAGGCTGCCATTAAGTTCTGTCTCTGGTTCAAAAACGTGAACCCCCTCTTTCAGTAAAGCCCTTAATGCGTCCTTTAGTGGACTCCAAGAGCATCCACGCCTGCCCTTGCCTTCGTTCTCTAGTAGCCGTTCCTTACTGACTCCCTAACCTAGTTCCCATGTTGCTCCCTAGGCTTTCACTAGACACAAAAGCACCCTGAACTGCATGGAATCAGAACAAGTTTTAGACACTTGGGTCTAACATTGAGATCCTCCACTCAGACTTCTTTTCCTTGTTTTCCCATTTCATCCTTCTCTGATTCTTTGCATCAATGGATATGACTAGAAGATACACAGGAAGGACTCTGCCCAAAATATGCTACACTCTAGCCCATCCACACTCTTTTTGGCACCAGGAACCCCTTCTTACTCAGTCACTCAGGTGCAAACATAGATGGGCCCTATTAAATGCAAAAGTCAAATGTGTCAGGTCACATAGATCTTACTGGCTTTTAACCCTTCAGTTCAACTTAGAGGAATGAGTGTTTCCCAAACTACATTCTCTGGAGTTCTCCTGGTCGCTGAGATCCTAGGGAACACTAATTAGATACCCTCTTTTGGAAAGTCACCCTCCCCTCTCAAAGTCTCTGAGAAACGCTGCTTCATAAATTTGTTTACATTTCACCCAGAATTTGCTAAACCTCCTGCAGCTTCACAGTTTTGTTCAAGCCCTCCTTGTCTTAAACTTCTAAAGGCAGAGTTATGCCTTCTCAGAACCTTACCTCTGCTCCTCTGGGCATTGTTCGAGGAAAGAAAAAAAAGGGGAAAGAGCTGAGAACCAAGGAGGCGGAGGAAATGAGCAGGCCCAGCCACCAGGCTCCAATCCATCGGGCATCTCTGGGGCTCAAGTTAACTGCAGCTGAAGAGATACCAAAAGTGATTGTTGGATGAGGACATGATTTCACCTACTGGAAAGAAATTCTTTCAGCAGGGGAGTTTTGTTGACTTCCTTCCTGTGATGAAGATGAGGTAAGCCATGAGTTAGAACCTAGGTCAAGAAAATATTTCTTCTCCAGGCCATTCCGGTCTTTCCAGAGGATTAAGAGAATCAGAGAATTTCCAGGACGAAGGACTCAGAAACTGCACCTCACTTTTTTATTCCCAAGCCTTGGGAGGAATAATGATGAAGGCTGCTGACTCTCTTGAGGGCTAACCACAAGTCAGACATGAGACCACATTACATCTACTACTATCTTGCTGGTTTTCCCAGCAAGTCTGGTAAGATAGGAGATGTTCATCCGCCTCCAACCAGTCCAGCGACAGGATCAAAGAGACTAACCTTGGCTTGGACCTAGTGAGTGCTGTTTCATTGGTCAGTTTCAAAGCTATGTCTTCTTGGTGCCCAATCCTCACCTCCTTAACCACTGAATGCTGCTGCCTCCCCTCTTTATTGATCCCTAAGAATCATAATCTCCCATAATCTCCAGCGAAACAACCACCAACAGAGTGGGTCATCTGGCCTCCTAAGGAGAAGGTTTCTCTTGGTGAGTCTCCTGCCTACATCATGCTGCTCTTTGTAAAAACCACATGAGCACAAAGGGAGAAAGAAGGTGGAAAAACAACCCATCTCTGGACTCTGTCCACAATGGATGGGAGCTCAGTTGCTGGTCTTGTTGGGCAACCAAGAACCAAGTCAGGAAGCACCAACAGAAGGACAAAGATGATTAAACCCTGAGACAGAGCGCTCCCCCTGGCTTTCCCCTTTCATCTGAAATACTAACAGGTGACATTGTGGTTTCATAATCCAAGGGACAGGAGCCTCTGGGCTGTGTCAGCATGCTCGGGCTTAACACCTGCCTACATTCTCTGATCTGTGTGTCAGGCACTGATACTCCTTTCAGTCAGATCTCTGGCTGGTGGGAACTTCAAGTGCCATTCATATACTCCCTTCACATTCCACCACTGGCTTTGTCGGGGACTCTCCCTCCCATTACTCTCTGTGGAACTCTCACCCATCTGTCATGTTCCATGCAGACATCACTGCACTAGGGAGCCCTCCCTGCTGACCTTATGCAGGAGGTTTTCTTCTGGTTTTGGAACTGCCAAAATGCTTTGCCTGTCTCTCCCTGACCTGTGGGAGGCTGGGGGGCATGGACAAGTTCAAAGGACATCAGTCCTTGTGAGATTCATCTTGGGACTAGCTTCATGAATGGTCCCTACCTTAGTACTTGTGCCCTTCTCCATGGGCTGCATTTTCTCATTCTTAGATACACAGTGATTCCAGTCCATACCAGGTTTTTTTTTTTTTTTTTTTGAAGAATAAGAGCTTATACCTGTCAATCTCTTAATATAGGCATGTTCTAATATGCACAACAGTTCTATTTTACTAATATTAATTAGCCCAGCTTTACAGATAAGGAACTCAAGGCATGGAAAGTTGAAGGTCCCCAAGATCACTCAACTAGTAAGAGATGGGGCCAGGACTAGTTCTCATACAGTTAAATACAATGTTCTATACCCTTCTGGATGTGAGTCATAATCCATGTGTATGTTTTATGTAGTATTTCTTCTTTTATTTTTTACTGAAAAGAGCTATTAAATATATATATATATAAATATATATATATATATTTTTTTAAGCACTCACAACCTTCTTGGAATCAAAGAACCACAGGACTATTTTTAGTACCACCATCAGGAAGGGCGGCTTTGCTCTAAGTCTCCAGGTTTTTGCTGCAAGCTTGAGGGCAGAAACTTGTTTTCTTTAGCAGCAGGTCCCCACAGCTTCCGGCATGGGCCCTGGTCAGTGTTGGTGCACTGTGCCTGCTCCTGACTGCCTGAGGGACTGCAGGAGTGAGGGCAGGCGGGAACTAGGGGGTGAGAAAGGAAGGGAGGGAGGAGGCTGCCAGGAAAATTTAGAGTTGAAACTTCATTCTCTGACCTGATTGGATGGAGGGAGGCTGCTTGGTGGGGTTGGCAGCAAGATGGAGTTCTCTGTACACTCACCTGTGTCCACCCTGCCGAAGTCCACAAAGATCTGCAGCATGACAGAGCCCAGCAGGTACCCAAAAGCCGGTCCAAATACAGAAATGGCAAATAGGATGGCTGGAAAGGGGAGCAGATAAGGGAGGTTGAGAGGTATTGAGAAGGTATGGCAACTCCAGGCTCTTTTCCAAGCTGAGGGATTCCTGAGATCTGTCAGAAATCTGTCCATGTGTCCCTGGCCCTGACAAGCCCATAGCTATGGCATTTCCCCCAGAACCACCCAGGATCATGGGCTGAGCAGAACCAAAGCTGTTCTTCAGCCCACTGCCTGAGAGATATGCAGTCTCCAATACATTAAAGAAGCCAGCCCAGAGGCATGCTGGTGGGTGAAGCTCCCTGCAGAGACAATGCCAGTGGTCCTCGCAGGGGCCCGTGGAGCTGCAGAGGCTATGGGGGTGGTCTGTCTGTCTGGGGCACAGGCCCTGCCGATGCTCATGGCTTGTAATAAGGGAAGAGTTTAAGCAAGCAGACGGCCATCTATCTGCTCTGCATGTGCTTCTTTGACATCAACCTGTCCCTAGTAGACAATTTAGGGGAGACATGTGTGCCCAGCCTATGCCTACAGGACTGGACAAAAGAAGTAGCTATACTTGACATGGGGCTGAGCAGTTACATGATCACCAGTCCACCCACTACATGGATATTAGCCCCATTCTGCAGATGAGGAGTCAGGTCTTGGGGCTCAGCCACCAGGACCACACGATTGGTAGGTAACAGAGTTGGCATTCAAACCAGGTCTGCCTGATCCCTGGACCTGCACGCAATGTAACTCATTGTTACATTGTAGGGCAAAAGGGGTTAGACCTTGATCTAGATTCCCAGGTCTTGGAGCAAGTGCCACGTCAGGGCCTGACCCTTCCCTGCGGCCCTCTTCAAGAGTGAGACTTACAGATGTACAGGGGTGAGTTGTTGGGCTCCGAGAAGTCATCCACATAGGATATCCCGAAGGGCTGAATGGGCACTGTCCCGATGCCGGCCAGCAGCTGAGCGACCACCATCAGGCCCCACATGCTGCTGGTCTCCTTCCGGGAGTCCTGGCTAGTGCTGTGGCACCTACTAGGGGGTGGGTCCTGCCAATGCTTTTGACAGAGCTCAGCTTGTAAGTGGCTGCTATTTCCTGCAAGAAAATGCACACCAGTCATCACCACCCCGTCTCCAGCTTCTGCCAGCTGGCCTCCCAACCTGGCCTTTCTCCCAGCGCCTTTGGAAAAAAGCCAACTCCAGGTCAGAGGCTGTGCTGGCAAAAGGACATGGTCCCCGAGGACCACTTCCTTCTACTTGGCTACCAGGAGTGATTGTAGAAACAAAGGTGAGAGCATGGGATCCCAGGAGCAACCTTTTTGGAAGGGGAGGACTAGTCCTCTCATGGATGTCCACTCTTGCCCCTCTGTGGGCACTCACAGGGAGTTGAGCATGGAGGGACCAGTACTTTCATCCCTGAAGGACAGGGCCTTCCAGCTGGAAAAGGGAGGTCCAGGAGGAAAACCCAGACTTGTTGGCCTTTGGTACCTTTATACTCAGCCTTAGGCTGGGCCCCCAGGTTATAGTTCTCTTTAGCAGGACAAAGGTCAGTCTGTTCCATAAAGATGATGTCTCCCCCAGCCCTAGCCTGGGTTATGATGGTGGGGCCCTCACTCATGGATGAGCCTGGCATTGCCTTCATACTGGAGGATCTACTGCCTGAGGCATTTATTGTCCTCACCAACCCTGGACAGCTCCCAAGAAGCACAGAAATTGGGAAGCTGAAAAGAACCTTGAGACCCTTAAGTGGAACCCTTGTATTATAGATGAGGGCAAAGGTTGCACACAACAGAGCCAGGATCACCTCAAAGCTCTCTATTAGGGTCCCAGGTACCCTCAGTGTGGCCATGGGCACCGTGCTGTCTGGGGCTGCAGGGACCAGATCTGGACAGATGGCCACTTCCATGTCCCTGCTTTTAATTTGGCCCCAGTGAAGCAATCAGCATTGTCAGCTCTCCAAGACCTGAAGGGCTTTTGAAGGCTGCTTCCCATGAGATCCCTTCTTTTCCTCTATTTCAGGCCAACAGAAACCACTGTGATCACTGGTCTCAGTGGGTTGTACCCTCAGTGCTCCAGGGGTTGCTCACTCAATACTAATATGATAGGCTTAATTCTCATTTGTGCTGCTCCTCAGAGGGTACAGCCTGAAGAAGGTGGGTCTTAAATCCCATGGAGAATAAAATGATGGCTGGGGACTATAACTGCCCCTCACTTTTGATGCTTTCTGATGCTGATGTGCTCAGGGCTGCTCTGGATGGTGGGGCTGGGTGGGTCTGTCCTCATTGCTGTCCTCTCCCCTCTTGCAGATGCACATGTTTCCTCCAGCCTGGCCCCACCATCGCCTGCCCTCTGCAGTAGTGGCTGTAGGGGATAAGTTTGAAAACTGCTAGCTTAGGGAAGTCTGTCCCAGGAAAAGAAGGGAGGCCAAGATATGTCATCCAGCTCTGACACCAGCATCGTGCACCCAGGTCAGCAGCCAACACCTCCTTCCTGTCTATAGTGAGTGTCCTTTTGTAACTTCCTTCCCACATTCCACACCCATTATCCCATCTTTCAAGGCAGAATTGGAGTAAAAGTGGTCCAACCACATGATGAAAGAGGAGGCAGCCTATTAGAATCTGGGTGGGGATACAACATGATTAACATGGAAAGACAGTTGTAGCATCAATGAGAGGTTCAAAAAGTAACCAATAGTTTGGAGAAGAATACAATTCTTTATTTATAAAACTTATATGGATTAATTGAATATTCAGGGAAAAATTCTGGAGGATGCTGGGACCTTGGGTGGTGGGGTTGTGGTGATCTTTGTGAGCATGTATTTATCTGTGTGTAAATTTTAATTTTTCTGAAATGAACATATGATACACTTGAAATAAAGCAATGACAGAAGGTTTTAAATATTAAAAGGGTTGTCATTAAAAAATGGCCCATTTTAACAATGGTTCTCCAATTTCTTATTTCTTTTTTTGAGAGAAGAAATTAACTTTGTTCTAGTGTTAAAAAAAGAAAGATAAATCCCCTTCCAATATCTCCAAAATATAAACATCATTCACATAATTTAGCGCATCACCAAAGTAAATGGGCCATAAGAAATAATATCAAAAATGTTGATAACAGTTTCCTAATGAAGTATTTAATAGAAGTTTCTAATAGATACCTCCAGTTTAATGATCAGTACAAGAGAAAGATATGGCTTCTGACATATACATGTGGTTCTGAAACTGCTGAGCACACGTTGTTCCAGTTGGTGTTGTCTGGTTCTTTCTTCACTTGTTGCTCTGCTAGTTTTTCTATGCATTTTCTTCTCCTCTTTTCCTTTAAGGAAGAATAACCATTTCTCTTGCTTTCCTTGTCCCTCAGTCTTTCCTTAAACTGTTTGTTCTTTTTTTTTTAAAAGACTATTTATGCATACAATAGCTGGGTTACAGGCCAGAGGTGTGTGTGGGGGTGTGTGTGTGAAAGGATTCACCAGAGACAGAGTGGGGAACAGAACAGGCAGACTGACTGAAATGCACTGCTGAGGGGAGCAGCAGGCTAGGCAGGAGAGGTCTGCTGCTCCATGTGGGTTGCTCTCTGGCTGGCCAGGGATCGAACTTGTGTTGCAGAGACTGCAGACAGCTTCACAGTGCTATGCTTAACCCCTTGTGCCACCAGGGAGGCCCCTACACTGTTTGGTCTTCATGCTATTTTAAATACCGTAATAGAAAAGCTTGTGGATCTGTTTTCCTGCATAAAACCCATTGCCAGCACAGCTTCATACAATTGGGAGGCAACTCCCAGCTTCTCCCTGAGGAATGAAGGGTTTGGAACCCATGTTTAGCACTCTAGCTTTTAAACTGCCCTATTTCTAGTTTCTTTGTTGCATAACCATTGCCCTTTTTTCTCATCTAGGCCCCAGTTCTACAAAGGTATGGGTCACACCAGGGCTGTGTTTTGGGTCTGTTTAGCCTTTCTTTGAGTTGTAGATACTCAAGTCCCAGCACTAGAAATTTATATTTTTATGTGGTTTAAAAAGAAAAGGAAGAAATTGGCTATGGCGCTAGGTACCTATGTGATCTTGAGCAAATTTCTAATCCTCACTGTGCCTCAGTTCCTCTGAAATAGAGATTATAAGTTTGGCTGGATAGGGATGTTCCCTGGGGGTCACTAAGTAGCTGGAAAGCTATGGTTCCAGAAAGAGGTGCAGGAGGAAAAGTCAGAGGCCCCTGTCAGTCAGCAGGCTTGATAGCTGTGTCTGCCCTCTGGCAGGAAGGCTGGAATACTCCGAAATGCTCATTCTCACGACTGTAATGTTAGTCTGGAAGCACAGAATTATAAATGTTCCTGCTGAGGAGGAGACCATGGGGGCCATGTAGCCCACTCTCCACCCCACTCAGGAATCCCTCCACACACACTGACCTGTGCCCAACACCCAGAAGCAGGTGTGTGGTGCTGACACCTGTGCAGACGGCCCCCTCCCCAGGGAGCCCCAGGTGCTGTGGGCAGACAAGGCGAACAGATGTTGGAAGAGTTGGACTGGGAGCCTGGAACCCAGTTTCTGGTCCTCAATTGGTGATTCTCTGTCAGTGACCTGGACCTTGAAAGACCTCAGAGGATTCTAGTCAGAATCCAAGCACTACAGAGGATGGGAGGCTGCTGGAGGGCAGCGGGTGCATTGCATTGTCTTTGTTCACTGCTCATCCCTGCCCTCAGCGCAGTGGCCAGGACACACTGGATGGATGAGCGATTATAAGCCGTGGGCTTGGCTAGTCTTTAGAAAAAGTGATGGGTGAGTACCATGACCCATGTCCCTCTCAAGGGCATGTTGAGGACTGAGAGGTCCTGCTTGGCCTGGGAAGCATTTAGACACTTACACAAGCCCCTGACTTGGCCCAGCCACTGACCATGTACAACTGCGCAGTCACTCCAACAAATCTGCCCTCACACGTCTCTGCTTACTTCCACGCCCACTCTGATTTCCGCAATCTTTAAGGCCCCATAAGTAAAAGGAATTCTGGCAACTGTTCAAATGGGGGCATCTTTTCAGAAGATTCAGACAAAATTTGAGTATATTTTATATAAAGAAAAGAGCAAAGTCTGAAGTTCTCTAAACTGCTGTTGTCACTTGCAAATGCGCACGGGGAGCTATTTGTCTGGGTGTGACCCTGTTGCCAGCTGTGCTGTAGGTTGTGGGTACCAGAGCCAGGTCTGTGTTATATGCAGGAGTGATTTAAAGATCACCTGAAAGCAAATGACCATCCTGCAGGGGAGGAGGTGCACAGAATTGGCCGCTGCTGCAAGTTCAGTCACCAAAGCACCACACCCAGGTCAGCTGTGAGGGAACACATGGGAGGGGCACTAACCTGGATGTCATTGGGAGAGGGTTCAGGGAAAGATTCTTGGAGAAAGTGCTCTGAGATGAGGAGAATAATATGTGCAGAAGAATCAATAGAAAATCAGGGTAGGGAGTGAAAGTTGAGAGAGGAACAGCATGTGGAGAGGCTTGAAGGTGTGCACAGCACATGCTGTAACATGAAATGCAAGTCAGTGTGGACAACAGGCAAATACATCTGGGCTGGGGAGGGGTGCATGGCCACTCCTGGAGATCCTGTGTGTCCAGGAAAGGGACCTGGGTTATATCCTAGGAAAACCCTAGAAGGGTGATCACAATGGGGACAGCACAATGAACATACTAGAGGGGTTTAAGGCCAGTTTTCAAGGTCTGTGTGCAAGGAGTAGAATCGACCTAGTTAAGAGATAGTTTGGGGGTAAATTAGGTGAAATGTGCATGGCATGAGGGGCAGAGCGTGCTGGTCAGATGTGCAGATGGCATTGCCCAGCCCAGGGGAGTGTTTCACTAGGCTTCTTGTGGGAGAGCAGGGACAGGAGAAACAAAGAGAATTAAGACTTTCTTTTTAAATGTTCTTGTTTTTTATTTTGCTGATTCTCATCATTTTGTTAAATTCACATTTCTTAGAACACTGTTGCTGGCTTGGCTGGCAAACTGATTTTTTGTGCTCCATTTAATGGTCATCAAAGATGGTGAAAATGTTGAACTGGCTTATTAAGTCTTTACATGGCACGTTGGGTGGTATGCCAGTGCCATAAAAATCCTCA